GCCCAAAATTCGGGACACTTGCCGGTCCGGCATCAAGACGAGATCTGATTGGTCACAAATCTGGACCCAACAGCCAATCATGACCAAGTATTGGCCAAATGCCGGTTGCCAATGGAGCTCCAGAACGCGTCAGAAATCCAGAAAGTTTATAGCCGCTTACGCTATATATACGAAGCGCTGTACAACTGTTCCTGATTTCGTTTTGGGCGTTAATAGACCTTTTGCACCTTTGGTGTTTGTTTTGAACGCTAGGCTAGCTTGGGAGGCTCAGACCGAGAACTAGGCCGAGGAAAATACCGTTACTACAAAAACCCTGCCCGAAACTGATGGCTCAGCGGTCTGGCCTGCTCGAATGCATAGAGCGACTAATTGATGTCAGTGGCGTTCGTATTGTTGGCTTCTTTCCAGATTGTTAGACTAGGCGCTCAGAGGTGTAGGCACCTCAGAATGCTTGCGATGGGCCAGCATCAGGTTTCCTCCCTCACTCAGTCTTTTCTATTGTTGGTCCAAGGATCTGAATGTGATCAGATAAGATTTGTGGTAGTACGGCTGATGATTCTCCCGTCCACCCCAAGCATCCCGAAACAAATCTTCAAAACTCGAAGGCCAGTCTATGTGAAGGACTTTGATGTTCACACTTGCTATCATAATGGATCCAGTTGACAATCAGAAACATCAGAAACAATAATCCGATATCCAGGCGCAGTCATCTGGCTAAATGCTCTATCATTCTCCATTCGATACCGGCCGCGTACTTCTGGCGATCCAGAGGTCGATGCCGTAGGATGCGCAGGGGCCAGCATCGTCCCAAGTCATCGGGCGAAAGGTTCCTTTTTCATTTAATACCCGTTGATAGTCGACTATGCGCGGTTCGTGGTGTAGTTCCTTGAAAGAGGAGTTCATAGTTTGCTTTTTTTCAAACCTGCTTACACTATCTAAGGCAACTTTTCTGACGCCCTGAGTTCCCTGCTATAAAGGGCTAGAAGCCCAAACATCATTACGATTGACAGAGATTAGAATGTCTGCTCAGTTGTCAATTTCCAGAAAAGAGTTCCGTAATGGATGTGCTAATCACAGAAGGATCAACTCAACCCCAGCCATAAGGACTCTTGGCATCGCTTGTCCTTATCCGCCTTTGAAGCACTGACTAGAGAACAGCAAAAAAGATGCTTGCCTAATAAAGGCTAGGCTGACCAAATCTTCATACTCCGCTAAGTGCTAGGACGATGCCATATGTATAAACGACCCACGATTTTTCTATTTTTGGATTTTCAAGGTGTATTTGACTCATCTGATTTGTCTGTTCTCTCCTTGTTCTGCAAGGAAGTTTGTATTCACTGGCCGGAAGGTTCATGGTTCGAACCTGACCTCTGAATCTGGACTTCTGTTTATGCTTGGGCAACCTAGCGGTATTCTAGCCCTGGTGCTTCTTTCGGATGGCATGGCAGCTAGGCACTAGAAGCGTGTTACAGCTTAATATTAAGGTCATGCTTCTGCACATGCAGTCACTGAACACGCCATTCACAGTTCAAGGAAGGGTACCCGAGATTGTGTGGCGTTTTACGTTTCTTGGAATTCGTATTACTTCAGACTGTAGTGCGTGATGAAATAAATGGACGAATCTATAAAGCGTTTGATAATTGGCGACACCTACGACAACCAAGCAGCATATCCCTCGATTCCAATAGACGTGTGTATCAGGCTATAGTACGGGCCGTTTTTCTGTTTAGCTATGAGATGCGGTCCCTAAAAGTAGCCGAACTGATATCTCTTCAGGGTTTTGATAACCACTGTTTTAGAACCATAGCTCATATAGGCTGGCGTCGGTGAATTCGTAACGAGACTAGTATTTGATTATGTAACAGGGACCTCAATCAAAGAATGTGTCCAACGTCGAAAGCTATGGTGGTTTCGTCATGTATTGCGTATGCCGAATGGTGCGCCGAAAGTAGTGGTTTTCCGTGACCAATTCAGAGTAGAGCAAGGAGAGAAGAGGCAAACTGTCGATCTGGCAAAGGAATAAGAAAAGTCTGGGCAGTGCCGGTGCGACTCGCCTTCCGAGACGGGATCCGCATGATCCACCTATGCACGGTTGGATTATGCGGTAAGATATGGTTGTTAATCGACGTTACCGGAGTTCTTGTTAGTTTCTATTCAGATTGCATGAATGAGTGTCTGGGGTGGAGGCACCTGTGAGAGCTTTCCCCTCACTAGTTTATCCTTTTCTCCAAAGTAAGGCATTCAAATAGATTATTGTTGAGCGACAGCGAAGATGCAATCGACACCGGGGATGATGCTGTCTGACCCAAGAAGACCACCAAATTGGATCTGAGCGGTGTCAAAACGACCTACCCACACGTTCATGTAACCGGTGAGCATAACGATGTCTGGGCGATTACTCCGTTGTAAAGGAGTACCTAGAGCGTCACGGAAACTGCCTGCGCAACCTTGCAACCCCGGCTCTCGTGCTTCGCTCTGGTGGCATGGCAGTTAGGGACCGAAAGGGAGTTACAGCTGAACAATTTTCTCCCCACTGAGCAAGTGTGGTTAACAGCCCTGACCGATCGACAGCACCGAACACGCTCTTGAAGTCAAGGAATTTTTTTCTTTTTTAAGCGTTCAGCTGTAGCACCCTTCCGGTGCCTAGCTGCCATGCCCCCAGAAGGAAGCACGAGGGCTGGGATACTGCCAGGTTGCCCAAGCCCAGACAGGGGAAGCGAGTGGCGGCGGTTGGATTCGAACCACGGACCTTCCGGTCAGTAAATTCGCGCTCTAACCACTTGGGCCATCTCAAGGAATACCAATATTATGGGCCGTCTATACATATGACATTACTCCAACCTAGCGAAGTGTGGAGATGTTGTCCATGCAGCTCATACCCGGTCGAAATCTCACTTGATGCTAATGGGTCAATGATTAACATGCGGCCATAAGAAGAATCAGTAATGCCTGGAGACTTCATACAACGGGAGTAACACACTCACCACGTGTACTCTTCTTCAAAATGGGCACCATTTTCGACCTACCCCAGTCATCTGGAACGGCCTATTTCACAAATGAACTAGATACGCACCGACTGACGAATTCACCGCCATCCTTGAACAAAGCCGGTGGAAGGTCGTCAGAACCAGAGGAACGACGACGCTTGAGCAGACATATACACTCGGAAGCTTCCGAGGCTGAAAGGGGCTACATGTTCACAGTCCACCTTCGTTTTGAAGGCCGGCAGTACCGATTGGATGTAGAAGGTGGCTGAAGTATCGTGCTTAGCGGTCCACACACTCTCCTTTGATGGGTATTAGAGAGCCATTCTGGTCCCTGGAGGTCTTGCTGACAAGAGGCTTCCAAGGACCGATCAAACGAATAAAGTGGAACAGCCCGCAGATGTTCCCAACATCTTTCGCATCCTCCATTTCTTCGAACATTCGGAACCACCAAGCTTCTCCGTTACGGACACTCATTTTCACCTGGTGTCCGACGAAGCATCGGGTGGAGTTGTGGGTGTGATCAGGAGGAATCGGTCGCCCGGTCCTGACAGAGATCCAATGTTTGAATCAAATCTGCTGGGTTGTACCGTAGTGACAAGTCCTGCCATTGAGTAGTGCTTTGGAGAACTGTTCTAAGTGGTCGTTAATATCCGACATCTGACTATCCGGTACGTGTTCGACCCGGTTCTGAAAGTTCCGTTTGGTTTTTGGGTCCAGTACTTTGATAATAGCTGCGCGAGGTGTGCTCATATTGTGTGGATCTGAGAATCACAATTAAAAACAGCGCACAAGTGCACGGTCGGAATCCACAATGTTGTTCTAGAAGGGGCGACTGGCAGTGGTCGACCCAAGACACCGGTGACTGACGGCGATGTGGTCTATTAGGATTCGGGAGTGGTAATTTGGCGGGCACCACGTCGTCAAGCGATTTCTGCTGTTCCGGAAAGGAACTGTAAAGGAGCAGTCTGCGATCGGTACCCATCTGAAGTGGACGATTTCCGTTGTCCATGCGTCTCGTACCCACACAAGTGATCCTCGACAGCGCTTAGTCTACCTACCTGGGCGTACAAAGAACTAACAACCACAACCATATCTGGGCTTTTAGCCCGTTGTAAAAGAGTACCTACAGGGTTATAGAAACGTCTTTGGCAGCTTCAGAGCTACGGTCCGTCGTGGTGTAAACAAGCATGATATACAGGGTTCGACGGACCTTACTTTCTCGAAAGTTCCTCAAAGGCGTTACAAAACGAATCCCGCAGAGCTGACTATCGACAGGTATCCAATCAAGTAGAGATGCTTCCGCTCGGTCCAATACACACCCAGGCATATCCAGCTGCAGAGGCCTCCGGATCACCAAATGTGCGCTGCCGGAACCTGGATGAGAGCAAAGGAACAGTTAGTTCGGTTGCAGTACATGTGTCCTGTGTCCTTGTTTCTGGCCGACAGTATAAATTAATGTAGAAGGAATTCAGCGTACGAGCAAAACCCACTTGTTGTCCTGCTTGTTTCAGTGCGCGGACATTAAAGACAAGTTAGTAGACCGGCCTTCAAAAAAAAACAGACATCGAAGTGCTTAGAGTTGTCAGTGAAGTCGGACACATAGACGCTTCAGCTGATTGCGCGGCACGGCAAACAAATCGGTCGGTTGTTGTGCTGGGACCTGCGGAATGAATATTCACATTGGGGTTCGGCAGGGTAGAAGACGGAACACATGCAGGTGGAGGGATGCGTTAGTAGTAGCGTATGTTAGCTTGCCCGCCCCAGTAAGGCGACCCGGCCGATGACAGCACGCGATGGTCGACGTGACACGAGATTATTGTTAGTTGTATCACGGTTGTACGAGCACTGGATTGTTGACAGAACGCTCGGGTCTAGGCAGCAGAGCGACCAAAGCATTTACCGACCTCCAGTCTTGTAGGAAGGTTGACGACTCCTCTGTCTCATTCAGATAGTAGACTTTCAAGGTCTAATGGTATTGGAAAAACGCGCGTACCGGATTTAACGGTTCTATTTGCGAGCGGCTTGGAACCAATAAGAGCCCCCCCATCCCTTTGTACCTCCAGTGACGGTTGATCCCAAACGTAAGTCATTGCGCAAGTAATATTGGGAACACCAAGTCTTGATTGCTGTGACCCGAAGGTAGTTGGTCCCATGTCAAAGATGCGGGAACATGAAACGAAGAAGTCAGCAAGAACTTTTGCGGCTTTGCCCACTGGTGACTATTCACTGACTGACCCTATATACATAGGCACATAGTCAACATAGACACGGATACACGGAAGGCTGCTTACTGGGTATATTGCCGTATCGACAATGATAAATAATGATCGTCAAGCTAAAATATTCCTGCGGTGTATAACTGTCATGTTACCCGAAGGAAGCAAAAGGGATGAGATAGTACCAGCTTCCATATCCGTTATGATGGTTACGTTTGCTCTTAAAACCATATTGTTACAAAGGAGCGGCGGTAGGAAATCGCACTAGCGATCACACTGTTACTTTGCGTGAGCACCACAAAAGATATCTGCTATGTGACCTAACCAACAGGAATTGCTTACGGTCGTCAAGGTTCCTGGCGTTTACGGTCTAAGTGCGAGATAAATCATTAGTAAGGGCGCGAATTAACTGGTCGGAAGATTAATGGTTCCAACACGACCTCTGCCCCTCAACTCACCGTCTAGCCTAAGGCGACCTACCAGGATCCAAGTCCTCGTGCTTCCTTCTGGAGGCATGGCAGTTAGTGACCAAAAGGGTGCTACAGCTGAACGTTTCTTTTATTAAGGTCAACGTGACACTGATGCCCTCACTAAGATACTGGACCTTGCCGTGTTGTGACTGCTTGCGCACCTCAGAGATCCATCGAGCTATACTGTGGAGTGTCCCCGTGACACTCACAGCCTCTTATACCAGGTTAGTCAATGGTTAGAGGTCTCCTGGACCTCCAGGTTGGGGGTCGGAACATGTGGCGACTTGTTCCGTAGAAATGGTAATTAATTTGCATTTCCCGCCAAACACCGCTGCCTTGCGGCTAGGCTTTTGAGCCAAAGGCTCTGGTTGGCATCCTCCTGCTTGGTATGGGCGCCCTGACAGTATTCCAGCCCTCGTACAACCATGACATTCTCGACTAACAATACCCTCATGCCACATAGGCCGCCGCGTGGTGCCATCAGTCGGGTCGCCTTACTTGCTGCATACAACAGGACGGGTAAGCGAAAACAGGCTACTGCTGACGCCTCCCTTCTTTCTCTTTCACATATTTTTCCTTGCCCCTTTCCCCACCCCATTAATGACTCTCTCCTTCTAGGCCCGGTACTTAGGACTGATAATTCCGTTCGTCATGCATCGGTTTTGCGTGCAGCATCTGCTCGTCGACATCCTCAGGTATCTCCAAATCAGTCTTTACGCCTCGACACCCAGTCTCTCTGGACGCGTTCAATGTCTGCACTCTGAAGCAAGCAGGACAACAAGCTGCCTCTTGCACTCACACTGGGCTCGCTTGGCAGTGGTGTGCTGTGTCTCAGAAACGAGAATTCAAGATGCAAGCACGGTGATTGAGCTAGCCGCTCCGCCAGTCTCCACTCGCTTCCGCCTGCGCACCCCTGGTGATCCAGAGGCTGCTGCGCCGAGATGTGCAGGGGTTGGTATCGTGCTAAATCACCGGGCGGAAGTATCCTTACTTGACTGGATACCTGTTGATAGTCGCCTCTGTGAGGTTCGTCTGGCAACGTCCGTGAAGGAGTCTCACAAGCGGCAAGTTGACACATGTATGCTGCCTACGCCCCCGACGCCGTCAAAGACAGGTTTTACGACGCCCTAAATGCCCTGCTGCGGCGAGCTAAAAGCTCAGACATCGTGGTGGTTGCGGCAGATATGAATGCACAAGTGGACAGGCTTAGTGCATCTGAGTGCATCAATTAGGAGGTCGACATGGATTGGACTCGGTACGTACGAACAATGGGGGAGGATTGCTTCAGTTGTGTGCTGATCACAGGNCAACGTCCGTGAAGGAGTCTCACAAGCGGCAAGTTGACACATGTATGCTGCCTACGCCCCCGACGCCGTCAAAGACAGGTTTTACGACGCCCTAAATGCCCTGCTGCGGCGAGCTAAAAGCTCAGACATCGTGGTGGTTGCGGCAGATATGAATGCACAAGTGGACAGGCTTAGTGCATCTGAGTGCATCAATTAGGAGGTCGACATGGATTGGACTCGGTACGTACGAACAATGGGGGAGGATTGCTTCAGTTGTGTGCTGATCACAGGCTGTTTTTATGCAGTACTAGCTTCCGAAATAGCCAAAGTCGTCTGGCCACATGGTTTCCTCCAACGGCAGGCCAGCCACAAACGCAAATCAACCACATTGCCATCAGTTACCGATTGCGCGGATCAATAACTGACTGCCGGTCGTTTCGGAACACATTTGTGGACTCTGACCACGCGCTCGTCCGGATTCGCTTCTCCCTACATTTCCCTGGGCCGCGTAAGGTGCGGACAAGTCGCTTAGTAACTGAGAGACTGGCAGATCCGGATGTTAGACGAATTTGCCAGGATCATCTAGAGTCTTCCAAATGCTCCACCGTCAGATGTGGACTCATACTGGGACGAGATTGCCATCTCTGCACAGTGCGAGGAATTTCGCCTGTGGCACGGGCCAACCAGGCGCACCCAAGCACTGGATACCAGACTGATGGCACCACGCGACGGCCTATGTGGCATGAGGGTGTTGTTAGTCGAGAATGTCATGGTTGTACGAGGGCTGGAATACTGTCAGGGCGCCCATACCAAGCAGGAGGATGCCAACCAGAGCCTTTGGCTCAAAAGCCTAGCCGCAAGGCAGCGATGTTTGGCGGGAAATGCAAATTAATTACCATTTCTACGGAACAAGTCGCCACATGTTCCGACCCCCAACCTGGAGGTCCAGGAGACCTCTAACCATTGACTAACCTGGTATAAGAGGCTGTGAGTGTCACGGGGACACTCCACAGTATAGCTCGATGGATCTCTGAGGTGCGCAAGCAGTCACACGGTAAGGCGGAGCATCTACTTGACGGCTTCAGACCCTTGTTGCTTGAGTCTTAAAAGAAACATGGGTTGCCGAAATCTGTTCCATTCCCATAAAGATGGGCTAGTTCTCCGGTCAGTGTGCGGTGGATCAGGGAGCTAATTCTCTCGCCTTTTAGTATGGGGACGCAGACATGATGTTGGTGTCGAAGTGGGCAGCTAAAACTCCTTCAAGCTTCAACGTTTACGACGTTAGCCTGGTTCCAGGCTAGTCATAGATGACAGCGTGGTCTGTATCAGCATCGTCCTATAGGTTCACCGCACTGGGGTAAGCCAAGGAATAATTGGCCTCGGATTCCGTGGGTGAAAGTCCCTATTTGTTGACGCGTACCTCCAGGAGTCCCGATTTTGCAGGCTTTTTGAGCACAGTAGCCGAAGAAATGATCATACGCTCTGGTGACACGTTCCATATGTTTTTGGACCACATACAAACGCGAAATGGGCAGCTAGTATGTCAAAGTCATAACCTTCCTATCTTCGCGAAACTCTTCTCACAATTGCTGGTTCGGAAAGTAAATGGGCTTATACTAGGTCCCCTCTCTAATGG